GCTGTGTGCTTCCCAGGAAGGTTTGCTCCTGGTTAGTTATGTGTGGCTATGGCACAAATTTCCTGAAATTTGGCTTCAAAATTAGTTGGCCCCTCCCAGGGCTCTGAGGTCGGCCCGGAAGGTTCTGCCCACATCCCCTGGGCCGTTCCTTCCCTACACTCAGCAGGTGCCTAAGCCTCACTTCTCCCTGCAGCCTCTCTAGCCAGGGTTCCCACCAACTGCTCTAACCCTTCCAAGATGACTACCTTCCAGAAGGAAGCAGAGCCTGTCAGTCTGAGTGGTCATCACAGGTCACAAGGCCACATAGCAGGGTGGGGACAAGATCCCACGTCCAATGGGTGGAGCTGGTGTGTATGGGATAGAAGGAGCTCACAGTAGCCCTGGGAGACCTCGCTGTTTACAAACAAATCGATGCCTCCCACCTGCTGCCTGACTACTTAGCTAAACGTAGCCTAAGCTGGTATCATATGAAAGGAAGCATGTGGCTCCAGGAAGCTGACTTGTGTGCTCAGGAAAGACTGGAAGCAGCAGCAGAATCAGAGGTGAGAAGGGCAGCTATAGGGTGTCGGGCAGCTTGGACACCAGCTTTGCCAGCCTGAGTGCACTCCACTCCCAGTGCCCTGAGCTTGGAGGTTCCAGGCAGCACGTCAGGGGCATGACCCTCAAAGGCCAAGGGTGACCCAGCCAGCAAACCTGAGCTCGGGGGCTTTGGTGATGCATTCTAAGCGCTAGTGGTGACACACCTTGCTGTGTTCTAATTAAGGTGAAACGTCCAAAGCAGACAGATTGCAGTCCTGTTTCAGCCAGGCTTGCCCACCAAGTCCAGGCTATCACTTTGGAGGAAGGGCTGCTGATTATCAGAGAAGGCTCCTTCTCCACCCCTCTGCCAGGTTTTGAAAGATGAAGATTGGGGTGATATGTGAAATAACTTCCTCATTTATATTGATTCATGGATATTTTGGATTATTTATATGGGACTTTTAAGCTGAAGAGCAATGACCCAGAGAAGTGGCTCCTCTGAGCTTCTGCCTCGGTGTGCAAACTGATGGGTATCATCGCTCTTTTCTCTTTTTGCTTCTTGATTGGTGAGACACATTTGCTGGATTTACATTGCATTTGTCTAACTCTGGCCCTAAACATTGCTGTCCAGTAGAATTTCCCATGGTAGTGGAAGTGCCGGTGTGATGGCTACCAGCCGTGTTCCAGTGTGGAGTTTAAATGTGTTGGTTGCAACTGAGAAACCAAACCTTTAACTGCATTTCATTTTAATTAGCTTTCATTTAAATGGCCACATGAGGCTAGTGGTTGCTACACAGAAAGTCCAGTTCTAGGGTTTTTTCTCTGCTTTTTACCAATTTATACCTCAGTTCGTTTTCTTTTATCTGCTGTTTTAGCTGAAATTTATGACGCGTTGTTGAATAATAACGGATTGCAAGTACCCAACCTGGCTCCTCAGTTGTACAATTGTGTTTAACCATGTCTAATAATATTTGCTCTTTCTTTCTCTTTCTTATTCCCTTCCCTCCCCTCTTCCTCCCTCCCTTCCTTCATTTCTCTCTCTTTCTTTCCTCTTATTTCTTTTATTTTCTTTTTTCTTTTTGTACTTAACAGAGACAGGAAGGAATAAGGGAAGAAAATAACAAACAAACAGCCAACCAATATTTTATTTAAGTCTGTGAGATGCCATGCAAATACTGAAGAGTAATGTACTTCCAGTTATGTAGTCACTTTCAGAATAGGTATAATATGATACTGTGAAAAATGTATGTTCTGTGGACCTGGGGTGGAGAATTCTATAAATATTCCCTGAGTTTACTTATTCCAGGTCTAAATTCAAATCATAGATGTCCCTATTAATTTTCTATCTGAGTGATCCATTGAATATTAACAATGCGATGTCAAAATCTCCCGCTATTATTGTGCAGGAGTCCAGATCTCTTTATAAGTCAGTAAGAACTTGTCTTATGTATCTGGGCACTCCTATATTGGGTACATATATATTTATGATCATTAACTCCTGTTGTTGCATGATCCTTTTACCGTTTTATGTCCTTCTTTGTTTCTTTTGGTCTTTGTTACTATTAAAGTCTATTTCGTCTGAGACAAAAGTTACAACTCCTATTTTTTTTTTCCTCTCCATTTAATTGGTAAATCTTCCTCCATCCCTTTATTTTGAGTCTTTGTGTGTCCTCGTGAGTTAGATCTGGATACAACGTACCAATAGATTTTAACTTTTTATTCCATTTGCTTGTCTGTGTCTTTAATTGGGGCATTTAATCCATTTAAATTTAAGATTAATGTTAATATTTGTGAGTTCAATATTGTAATTTAATACTAGCTGGCTATTTTGCCCATTAGTTGACGTAAATCCTTCATTATGGAGACACGCTTTACGTTTTGGTAAATTTTTGGGATGACTGATACTGGTTGTTCCTTTCTGTTTGTAGTGCTTCTTTCAGAAGGTCTTGCAAAGAAGGCCTAGTGGTGATAAAATCTCTGAGTGCTTGTTTGTTGGTGAAAATTTTTATTTTTCCTTCATTTATGAAGCTTAGTTTGGCTGGATATGAGATTCTGGGTTGAAAATTCTTTTCTTTGAGGATATTGAATATTGAGCCCCACTCTCTTCTAGATTGCAGGGTTTCTGCTGCGAGGTCTGCTGTAAGTCTGATCGGCTTCCCTTTATGGGTAACCTGACCTTTCTCTCTAGCTGCCCTCAGAATTTTCTCCTTTATTTCAACCCTAGTGAATCTAGTGATTATGTGTCTTGGAGTTGCTCTACTTGAGGAATATCTTTGTGGTGTTCTCTGTATTACCTGGAGTTGAGTATTGTCCTGCCTTACTAGGTTAGGAAAGTTTTCCTGAATAATATCCTGAAGAATATTTTCCAACTTGGATTAATTCTCTTCAAGACATTCAGGTACACCTATCAGTTGTAAATTAGGTCTTTTCACATAGTTCCATATTTCTTGGAGACTTTGCTCATTCCTTTTTACTCTTTCTTCTCGAATCTTGTCTTCTCGTTTCATTTCATTAAGTAGGTCTTCAACCTCTGATATCCTTTCTTCTGCTTGATCAATTCGACTGTTAAAACCTGTGCATACTTTGCAAAGTTCTCATATTGTATTCTTCAGTTCCATTAATTCACTTATTTTTGTTTCTAAATTGTCTATTCTCATTAGCATTTCATCAAACCTTTTTTCAAAGTTCTTAGTTTCTTTACATTGGGTTAGAACATGTTCTTTTAGCTCACAAAAGTTCCTTATTATCCATCTTCTGAAGCCTAAATCTGTTAATGGAGTGCACTCGTTCTCCTGACCTTCTCCACTTCAGCCTCCTGAGAAGCTGGAACTGCAGGCCTGCACTGCTACCTCCAGCTAATTTTAAAATATTTTCTGTAGAGACAGAGTCTTGCTGTGTTGTCCAGGCTGGTCTCAAAGTCTTGGGCTCAAGGGATCCTCCTGCCTTGACCTGCCAAAGTGTTGGGATTACAAATATGAGTCACCACACCCAGCCTATTATTTTAAAATAACAATATTATATAATTGTTACTATCGTCAAGGCAGAAATTTGTCATTTTGTGGTGAAGAGTTGAACCTTCAAAATAACCAGCCACAAAACTGTCAGAGCTTGCTGTTTTATAGGAGAGGCACAAAACTTTGCTGATCATGTGCAGAGTCTTCACTGGAGGCCTAGACATCTTCACTTTCCTCTCCACCTTGTTCACTCTCTGCTGGGAACTCTATCCTGATACCTCTCCACCACCTCCCCTATACACCAGCATTAGAGGTGCTTGGTTTACGAGCTTAGCACTTAAATCACTCTACAACTTAGACTCTAAGCACCCTTACATGGGGGCTCATGCCTGGTGAGCCCAAGGCACATCTGGAGTTTCTAGTGATGCCTTTAAAATGTTCACTTGTTTTGAACATTCTAAAAGAAAACCAACATTTTCTTTAAATATGTTAACATTAATGTAATATAAATTTATGGATCTATTAAATATTCATATGTAATTTTATTTTATAATAAATATATTTTCACTTTTATTGAAAGTACTTAGAAAGTATTTTCATCTGCAAAACTTATCTCGTGCCCAGCTTTTCAGAGATGTTTCTGTATTCTTGAAAGTAAAACACTTCTGTGTTCACACCAAAGCTCTGTGTTCTCCGTGAGTGTATTCCTGCAGTTATTGCACAAGTCTGGGTGGCATGTGTCTGAGAGTTTGTCTGTTGGTTTTTACCTAGGCTAGCACATTGCTTTTCCAATATTGAGGTGTAAGTAAAAGATAAAATTTTAAAGGTCTCAAATATAGTATAAATACCATGGACATGTAAGAAAAAGTCCTGGGTTTAAACGGATTCTGTTGTTGTTGTGCAATAGCGCAATATTGGAAAATTATTAAATGCTTCGAAACTTAGTGCTTTGCATCTGGAAGATAATGCAATATTTTTATGACTTACCTTCACCAAGTGGTTAAGACCAAATACGAGGTCTAAAAATGTTTAAGCTATGCATTATGCAAATTATTTGATAACTCCATTAAGGTAACCTAAGATTTTGTTGCTAATAAGGCATCTTGAGAGGACCAAACTCTTACCAAATACTTCAGTTTGCAAATAATCAGTGATGTCAGATTCCCCAGAAGCACAACCATACTTTCCCCGGGAGTATTCCTCCCCCACTGGCCCAAGTCTCCAAGACTTACGCTAATACCCAGTGGTGCCCATTTCATCACACTGGGAAATGCTGATCACAAGAAATATTAAAAATTCAGAAAGTACATAGTATAGATTGAATTACTCAAATGCTTTCTGTCACCATGTGATTATTCCTCCAAAGCTAATTGAGATGAATCCACAAGCTAACTATAGTCTCAATAATTGTGTTGGTGTGTGTTTCACAGCAAAGGAGTTTGTGAGGCAGTTATCTCAGTAATGGCTTTCCATTTGTGACACTTCTGTCACCTTGCGCCTGCCTCATTCTGCTTCTCTCCTTTCCAGCCTGCAGTGGCGTCTGGGACAACATCACTTGCTGGCGGCCTGCCAATGTGGGAGAGACAGTCACGGTGCCCTGCCCAAAAGTCTTCAGCAATTTTTACAGCAAAGCAGGTACTGTCTGTGGGTTGAGTTCCTTCGCTCTCCCAGGTTGTTTGCGTCTGAGCGTCCATTTTTTCCATCCAAGAAGCAGGAACATCATTTTCCTTCAGGCCACTCCTGCTACTCTGGGGGTCAGGGAACAGCTGTGGCACATTGGGGTGAGTGCCCGTCTTAGGGAGCAGGAGGGCATTACCTACCTTCAGCCAAACCCCAGAGAGCAGGGCAACTGCAGGGAAAGAACCAGGGGACACAGGAGCCAAATGGAAACCAAAGCATGAAAAAGGGCGTGAGAGGGGAGGGAAGGCAAGGGGGTTATAAAGGAAGCTCCCCTCCTCCTGCTGAGTTGGTCTGTGAACCCCAGAGAACATGCTCTGGAAGGTTCTGGGAAGTGGGAAAGTGTGGACCCAGAGCTTCCATGCTCAGGAGAGAGGCCCCAGGATGCACCTAGTTTACTGAACCCACTCCCCCGACATCCTTGTTGCCTCACAGGTTTGATGCTGCCTGGAATTTGCGGTTTCTCTGGGGTTCCAGTCTCCTTCTCTGTGTCCAGGGCATGCTCCATATGTGGTGCTGCAAATATCTCTTGGCTGAATCCTTGCAGAAGGTTTTGATTATTTTTGTGAGTGATTCAGATTTTCATAATGTGAAGAAATCTATTTAGAAAAATAGAAAACATAAAAAACATCTGGAAACAGAAAGCCTAATATTTTGGAGTGCTGTGGAGAATTTGCTTTTATCTTGGACAGAGGTTAAAGGGTAAAGACGCTGGGAAGTAATAACGTTGAAGTGTTAAAGCAAAGTATTAGAACAGAGATTGGGGAAAGGAAAAGCAGATTCTGAAAGGAAGATTTTTTATTTCCTCACCCCAAGTTGCCAGCAGAGCAGTCTAAAGGTGGGGACCATGCTTGTGTCAGCATCATTGGCCACCCCCAAGTTAGAACCTATGTCACTTTAGAGGACCTGACCTTGAAGAACTGCCCCTCCGGTCAGTAGCATTTCTACTGATCAGCTTGGGCTACATCCATTCTCCCAGAGATCTGGAGTGAATTGGCATGAACTCCAGCTTTTCCTAGTCAATGGCGTGGTTCTGAGGCTTCCAGAAAGCACCCAGCAGCCTGGTGGTTTCCACATTGGCAAACACCAGAATGCAAACTCCTGCCCTGCAGAGTGAGCACCTGGGATGCAAGCCGTCTCCCAACCCGAGCTAGACTTTATCCCTCTCCCACCTGGGCTGGACTTCACCGCTGGTGCTTGGGGAAAGCTGTGAGGATTAGGTGCTTCTGGCATTTCCTGTCCCCATCCCCTCCAGGAGGCAATGAGCCAACTGTCTGCATAGAGGGGAACAAAGGAAGCAGAGAGCTGGGCGAGAGGCAAGAGGACTCACCACGGGGTGACAGCCTTCCATGAGCAGCTCCTGCTCATGCCCCTTGCTCAGCGCCCGGGAGGCAGCTCTGACAGCTGTTTGCTGGCTTTTCTCCCTTGACTTGCTCTCCATGTTTCCAGTTGCTCCTGGTGCCCACCTGCCAGTTCTGCATGGTGCTATTGTAGCCAGACCCAGGGCAGCAGCTCAGCCCCCTCTAGCACAGATGTAGGTCCAGGTGCAGTTCTGAGTCTTTAAAGGGGCATCAGCGCAGCCCTGAGTGGCGGATGATGTAGGCTCATGGGGCTTGGAATAGTCGCTGAGAAGCACTGAAGCCCTAAGGGAGGCCTTCAGGTATTCTTTGTCTGGCAAGTGGGCAAGAGTGTGGCGCCCGCGCCCCCCCCCGCCCCCACCAACCTTTCTTTGCATCTTCCTGGCCTCTCTGTACCTGGAGCGCCTCTCTGCCCCTCCCGGGCATCTCTGCACCTCCCTGATCTCTCTGTAGGTTGCCATCTCAGGCATTTCATATCCTTCTACATCTGCCCCAAGTGTCTCAGGAGTGAGAAGTCAGAAAGGATGAAGAACCTGTGAGAGAATCTGTACTTCATAGAATGACTTACTGGCTTAGTTTTCTGAGTTTTATTTAAGCATCTTCTTTGGATTGGTCAACACTGATGTCCTGTAGGAAGGAAAAGGGGCTGCACCTTGCAGAGGATGAGTGACAGGCTTAGCTCCCACCCGAGTCCTGGCTCCAGGCTCAGGAGAGGACCTGCAGGTGCCCTGCTCAGTTGAGAGCCAGGCTGTTGGGTGTGGCACTTGGCCCGTAGCTCACCAGCAGTGTGACTTTGGGCAAGTGGCACAACTTCCCTCGGCCTCGGCCATCTGTCTCTGAGGTTAATTAGAGAGCTGCCTCCTGTGGTTGTCGGGATTAGCTGCGCTGTTGCAAGCACAGAGCCCAGCGTTCCTGAGAGCTCGGTGAGTCATAGCTGCCACTACCGTGTGACTACCATCATTATAACAACCATTACGAGTGCTGTTCCTGAGTCTGCTGTGAGCACATCATTTGTGTTTGTGGGCCTGTCTCCTTGTCCATAAATCAGGGCAGTGGGACCAGACCTCTAGGAGTATTGCCCCCTTCAGGGCTCTGTTTTGCCTCCACCGTGTATGGGGGTCTCTGCAGCTAAGCAGCCCCCAGAACCCCATGGAGCTCACTGTGTAAGGTGTGGGTCTTGTAGTCAGAGCCCTTAGTTGGTGACAGTGTCGGGGTGCCAATGGGTAGGACCAGCCCTGGGACCTTGCTGAGACCAGCCTCCCACCCACTCCTCCCTGGTAGAGTCAGGGCCTGGCCGGGCCCTCTCTCTGCCTCTTGCCACTACATGACAAGAATTGCACATGCATCCCACTCAGACTACTAAGTCCTCAAAGCCTGTTTTCCTCTTCGGTAAAATGGGAACAGCAATGCCCACCAAGTCTGTCTTGCAAGGTTGTCTTGAAATTAAAAAGTCATGAGAGTGAATATATTGGCTAACTCCAAAGCCCCAGGCCCTTCCAGTCCCCCAGGCAGGGAGACAGGTGCCCCACTCTGGCCACACCAGGCTCAGGGGTGCATGGAGGGGTCCGGCCTCGTGGGCCCTGTGGTGGGGTGATCCTGAGGCCATGCAGCCATGCTCGGGGCAAGGCTGGCATGGGGTTCAGTGCCTGGTTTCATTCTTATGCCTTGGACACCCTTGAGAGCTTTATCACTGTTCTGTGTAGCCCCATCTGCTAAGGACACACACAAATAAAAAGAACATTGAATTTCTGAGCTTACATATGATTTTAGTTCCTTAGGAGAAAACGATGAGATTGCAAGGGCATCATTTCCTTGGTTTCATGTGATTAAACTCTCATTCCTCCACCCTTTCTTCCAATACCAGTGGCCAAGTGGAGCCTGCCCTACTGGGTCAGGGTTGGTGGTGAGGGCCTAGCGGGGAGGAGGGAGGGTGCTGTCAGGACCCAGGGCAGGTGAGGCGCCTGGCTCCAGGATGGTCAGTGCTTGGCTGCAAATATCACTTATGGTGGCAGAACGTAAGAATCTATTAAGAATTTTCATTCTGACCCAAAAGAGCTGCACTTCCAGCTGTGGTAGTGATGATTTATGACACAGTGCATTCTCTCACATCTCAGGCCCCCGAGACCTGGCCTGCTGGTCAGGTCACATGGACGAGGAGGCCAAGGAAGATTTTTTGAGGGGCAGCCTTGTCTCCTAGCTGACCCCTGGGCTTGGGAAGCATTTTAAGACAGCACAGGCTCAGCACAGACCAAATGGTGCCTTCTAAGGCCAGTTTTCATGGACTTGCAGATAAAATATCTGAACTTCACTTTCCAGGAAACATAAGCAAAAACTGTACGAGTGATGGGTGGTCGGAGACTTTCCCGGATTTCATAGATGCCTGTGGCTACAGCGACCCGGAGGATGAGGGCAAGGTAGGCTCCCGTGTGGTGCTGTGGCGGTCGGGTTCCGTGTCCTCACACTACAGCAGCAGCCCCTCCCGCCTGGCAAGAATTATTCAGATGTTTCCCCTAAGCCATCCTCTGAGTACCAACACTACTTCCATTTTCCAAATTAAGCAACGACCCTGTTTCCGTTCTGCTGTCAGCACTTGGAATTGTTGGGTTGTTCATCGTTTTGCAGGCAGGGAAAGGCAGGTTTTCTTGATCTGTTGTCTGCGTGTCTGGAAGATGGTGAAGAGAACCTGAGAGTGGTCCCACCTGCCTGAAAGTGACTGTTCAGATGGGTCCTGGAGAGCGCGTCCTTTCTGCATTTGGATTTCCTGTCCCGTTTAAGATTTTGCCACATTCTGGGACATCGAGCAGCCAGTGCCCTGGTTTCTTAGCCCTGAGCCCAGAGCAGGAGATGTGACCACAGCTAGGGTGTCTTTTCAAGCTGAGAGACCTGGTTTGTCCTCGGCTAAGAGGCATCTGGGGGCCGGAGGCCCAGAATGTGTTGGGGACACCCAATCAGGGCTGCACAAACTTGCCACAGTGTTCTGGGGCTCTCAGTATGATGTTCACTGTGAACCCTTCTGCAGGGCTGTGATCTTTCAGTAATGAGGATGTTTTTCCTGAATGTGGGATGTGTGGCCTTAAGCTCTGCTCCTGTCCATCAGCAAACTTCCCCAGCCCCGCCTCAGGCGGCTGCTCCTCCTGAGGGTTCACTCCGCTGCAACGTCCACCTGTGGTTTGTTTTATCACCAGACAGACCGCCGTCCTCCCCTGCAGCCCTGGCAGCACCGTGTGGGTGGCGGGCGCCATACCAACCTGCAGCCAGAGGTGTGTGCAGAGCGTGGCCCCTGCACAGGGCAAGACAGGGGCCAGGGATGTGTTGGAGGCTGCTCTAAGGAGCCCTGGAAAGTATCGCACTCCCCACATGCAGATGTTCTACAAGCCCACAGAATTCCCAGCAAAACCATCAGCTCCTGGCTGAATCACCTCCTGCCCTGCCCCTGCTCCGCCTGCCCCTCCTGGAGGTGTGGCTTCTGCCCTCTGGGTCCCCAGGGGACAGCGATGCTGCCTGGCTGCCTCTTGGGGGCATGAGCCTGACTTCTGTCTCACAGAGGCTTCCTTTGCTCACTTCTCTAAGACTCACAACTCTAAGCCAACTCTTTCTCCACCAGATTATTAAATCCTAGGAAAGGCAGTGAGTAGTGCTGGCTTCAGTAGCACGTATACTAAAATTGGACCTAAGTAGCCAATATCCCAACAATTGAAAGATAAAACTCCTAACCCATGGAATATTAGTTCGTTTTCACACTGCTGATAAAGATGTACACAAGACTGAGTAAGTTATAAAGAAAAAGAGGTTTGATAGACTCACAGTTCCAAGTGGCTAGAGAGGCCTCATAATTATGGCAGAAGGTAAAAGGCACGTCTTATGTGGCAGCAGACAAGAGAGAGAATGAGAGCCAAGCAAAAAGGGAAACTCCTTATCAAACCATCAGATCTCATGAGACTTATTCACTACCTTGAGAACAGTATGGGGAACCGCCTCATGACTCAGTGATCTCCTACTGGACCCTCCCACCACACATCAGAATTATGGGAGCTACAATTCAGGATGAGATTTGGGTAAGGACATAGGCAAACCATATCATGTAGCCGGTGGATAAGGGTGGTGGTAGCGGTGGCTGACATTGGCAGGTGTTACTGTGAGCCTGCTGTCATCACGTTACTTCAGTTAGGCTTGAAAAGAACCCACTGCATAAATGGAGAAGCTGAGGCTTAGGGGAGTGGTGAGGTGTGCTCCCCACTCAAGAGCAGTCACAGCCAGGGCCCCGTCGGTCTGATTCCCATGCAGTCTGCTTGTTGCCATCTGGTTGGGGTAGCTCCTGGCCCCACTGCCTTCCCTGCATGGGTTGAAGGCACTTGCAGGAGCTGCCTGGCTGGGACTACATTGACCTGCGGACTGTCTAAGATGCGCTCTCCCCCGTAGCATCCAGTTGAGTTGAGAGAAGACTGAGTTGAATGTTGGGGTCCCAGCTCTGTCACGCATGGAGCCCTTGAGGAAGGCCCTTCTCTGGGAGGGTCCCCAGGTGCATAGCTGCACCAGCCCAGCCAGGAAGAAGGGGAACACTGTGGCCTCTGTCATTACACACCATGGCTGACAACTGGCTGTGGTGTGTGAAATCACAGCAGTGACAATCCCGTCTGCCCCAGGCTTCCATAGGAAAGGGAGCGGCCAGGCGTCTCGGACACTTCTATAGCCTGGGTGGGATTCCAAGGTCCAGGTGGGATCCCAGGTGAGTTGAGGGCACCAACTCTCAGTCTTCATCTTCATCTGCACCTGGCCAGCAGCCATGTCTGGGAGACATTAGGACAGAGTGCTGGTGAAGAGCAGAGACCAAGACCCCCAGCAGCGTCGCCCCGAGCCCCGTATGAGCAGGCTCCTTCAGAAGGCCCGGGCCTGATGCTCCTTCATTTATTCTCCCTTCTTTATTCACTCCATGAATAAGCATTCCCTGGGAACCGCTATTCTGAGCCCTGGCCTGGCTTATAAAGAGTGACGTGGATCTCGGAGGCAGTGACAGCCACCACCTACTCTGGCAATGTCAGCTCACAGAAGTCATGCAAAAGCTCCTCATCTCCTGTCTCGCCCTGGCACACTCTGGGAGGCATCCCAGGGACCCGTGGAAAGCTCTTCCGGGTCTGCTGGTCCTTCAGAAAGGCCTGCAACCAAATCCTGCCTGCATGAGCTGTTATCCCCTCAGGCCTTGCTGTTTAGTCTAAAGAATTATTTTTCTTGTTAATTAAACATTTTAGAGATTCTGCGAATATTATGAATGCATATTCACTGCTAAGGGATTAGAAAGTCTAAATATTTTAAAGTGAGAAAGCAAAGAAAAGGAGGCACAAAACCAAAATGAATAATTTTTCTTCCTGTTGCAGTTTCTGCTCTTTGAATACTTTGAATACTTGGTTGGTTTAGGGACTCGTTTCCAAGATGAAGCGATAGCACATAGCGCAGGGCGTTCCAGAGGCTGCAAGCGCCAGGACAGGTCCTAGGCAGCCACAGGACGGCCACGCACTGCCCAGGGCCGGGTCGGCCCATCGGTGAACACAGAGTTGCCTGGGAGCCAAGCCCAACGGGTTTCTCCTGCCTGGAGCTTCATCCCGTCAGTGCCCACTTGCTTCCCAGATTCACACTTTTAGTTGTGTTTCCTGCTTGCACAGAGCCAAAGTCTGCAATAATTATTGTTCATTGTTTTCAAAATTAATTAAATTCAAGAAAAAATTTAGTCTCCACAAAAGCTACAGACTTGGCTATGTGTGTGAGGGAATCAGCAGAAATGTGGGTGTGGGAGCCCCTGGGAGGATAAGGGCTCTGAGGACCAGAGGGCCCTGGGGCCGCCCTGGATGCTGCTGAGCAGCTGCCTCCCATCCAGACCTGGAGCCCGAGGGGCCGCACAGGCCATGGTCTGGGCCTCTGTTTGGGGTCTCACCTGCCGCGGGCAGACCCTGAAGCAGGTGTGCTGACCAGGGTTCAGCCTCTCCATCTGAGGCCTTCCTGTCTATGTCTCCTCCTGCCAAGACCGGCTTTTAAGCCTGGGGGAAGAACATTTCCATTTTAGGCCTTGAGTCTTCACTGAGTAAAGGGTTCCATCCCACAGTGTACCAAGGGGCGGCAGCTGCGGCCCTCGCACTCCGTAGCTGCTCCTCTCCCCTTTCCCAGCCGTGTTCCCTGTAAGCCATGGTTCTCGAGCAACACCACCACCAGATTGAGGGCTCAGGATCACCAAACGTGGGGGGTTCCCCGAGCCATGTGCTGGGGCCCAACCACCCTGCCCTGCCCTTCACCCCATCACACCCCTCTTTGCTGATAGGTGGGGCTGGGGTTCCCATTGCGTGGAATACAGAACAAGAACCACCAAAGGCAACAGAACAGCTCAGGCAGAGGATGGGAGCTGCAGCAACCAGGCTGGTGTGAGGCTGGGGATTCTGCTAGCCCAGGCAGGGCTCAGGCTTCCAAGAGGCCACGAGAACCCCTGGGACTTGGACTCGCAGGCTCTGGCCCAGTGGGTCTGTGTGGGGCCTGAGACCCACCCTGCCTTTCGAGCATGTTTCTGGCTGATGCCAGTCAGAGTCAGAGCCTGGAGTCCTGAGATGAGAGTCTAGAATTCTTGGCCTCAGCAGTCTAGGCCTGAGAATCCGCCCAGCCGTCATTCACCGATGGCTGAGCGACTTCGCACAAAGCCCTGTGCCCACCCTGTCCTGCTCCTGGGATCAGGCCTAGAAATCTCTGCCTGTGCATCTGGAATAGCTAGAATTGCTTCTCAGCTTCTGAAAGGTGCCTCTTCAAGCCTGGGTTTCTTGAAACAGGGAAGCATACTTTGTATTAAAAACCCAAGGGAGTGGGAATTCTCCTTCGTGATTTGGATTTCATCTCGAGCACTGCCGAAAGAGTGCGGAGTGGGGGGCTCCCTGTTGAGTCAGGGGCAGGCAGGGCTAAGGCAGTTGAATCTCTAAGACCCTGGGCTCTCGCAGCCCCTGCCATTGCTTCTGCAGCGGAGGTGGCTGGGGCAGAGTGCGGGGTCCCCAGGAGTGGCCCCAGCAGCACGCCATGGTGGGCACGCAAGGCAGCGGCTCTCTTAAGTCTTTTGTGTTACATACTTGTTAACTCCGTTCTTAAATAAAGAACACTTCTGCTAAATTTAGCCAAGAGAACTGTTTGGCATTTCAGCCTTCCCATGCTTCAAGTGTACACATTTCTTCCGTGTGACGGCACATCCCTAAAAATAAGCCTGTGCCCTCCTCCGACACTCAGACCACTGTGGTGACTTGTTCCCACTGACAACAAACTTCACTCCCCAGGCTCCCATCCCTGACGACAAAGATCACAGCAGCTGGCCCTGCAGGCACCTCTGTGGGAAGCACCATCTGATCATCCCGCCAACCCTCCAGCAGCCCCACGAGAACACGAGCCTCCCAGG